GTGAAAATTCTTATTTGGGTCATATTCCAAGACGTAGGCTAGAATCTGTGATTGCGAAGTAAGTATAGGATTCACACCGGTGCGGTGACTGACTGCCACACATACTCCTCAAAACATTAGATTCATCCGTGCTGGAGCCATTTCAGAGTACAACCCACGCAAGGAAGGTAATTCCACAAGTAACTGCAATTCCAGGTTTTCAAACAGAGAGGGCGAAAAAGAGGCAAAACTTACGGACTGCAGCTTTAAAGGGGTCATATGACGTTGTTAAAAAGAACATTATTTTGTGTATTTGGTGTAATGCAATGTGTTTATGCGGTTTAAGGTAAAAAAAACACGTCAAATTATTTTCCACATAATGGACATTATTGTTTCTTCTGCGACGAGAGAAAACCAGTAAAACCCATTATAAACGAGACATTTGTTGCATCCAGTGGGGACATAATTACTGATTATAATGACTTATACTGTCTTTTTACTCTTTAATTTTAATCGCATCATATGACCCCTTTAAGTAAATTCTCATAAAAACAAAAGATATGGCATCAGTTTCACCAGTTTAAGTGCACTATTATTTAAATGGTTAGGGTCTGTAAGACTTTTTTTTCTTTTTTGATTTTAAATTTACGAACATTTTCTATTTCAAATAATTGTTTTTTTGTTTTTTCTTTTACGTTTCTATTCATTAAAGAATCTTGAAAAACACCAAATCGGCGTGTTAGAATGATTTCTGAAGGATCATGCGACACTGAAGACTGGAGTAATAATGCTGAAAATTCAGCTTTGCGTCACAGGAAAAAATTACATTCTGAAATATATTAAAATAGTAAACAATTATTTGAAATTGTAGTAATATTTCAAAATATCACTGTTTTTACTGTTGTTGTTTTTTGTTTTACTTTAAAATAAAAAAAAATAAAAAAAATCATACTAACCCCAAATTTCTGAAGAGTAGTGTATGTTTGAAATCATGCTTAAAAATATTTGTATTTTCTGTGATACTACATATACACCGCCAGGTCCCAGACAACTGTTATAATGGCTCAAGCTACTTTAAAAATTCCTGATTGCTTTTTTAAAGATATCTACTACATGACAACAGCATCACAATCCTGAAAAAAATCTCTCAAGACAACATGAGTTCCACTTCAAGTATTTCACTGCCATTGTGTAATGCATACCTTAATGAAATACAGTATGACAAATCTAGCTATCATAAGTTGCTTTTTGTTCATGTTAGATTGTCCACACTCTCACATGGTAAAGGATATTCAAGCATGCTCAAAGGCACTCAGCATGAAAACACGTTGATGACCGGCTGCCTTTTTTAAAATGTTGAACTAAAATAACTGGCCAGCATACTTAGCATGCTGAGAAGGGACAGGGCACATGCTTGTGTTTGATATGATCCCTGTGGAAAACCCACTTTGCTTTCATTAAAGGGCACTAATGCTTTGCATATCAATGTTAAATTTAAAATATTATTAAATGTTAAACTGCTAATCTTCTTTTTTAAATCACTGTGAATCAAATCCATAAATTACTTATTATTATTCAGCTGCATAGAGATATTTTAATTGAATCGTTGTCAAAATAATTTATTTAATTAAACCTGGAAATAAATAATGTTAAATGAAGAAAATATATTTAAGATAAACTAGCCTATTTCTATGTATAATAAAAAAGAAATTAAGAAAAAAGTTATGACAGTCTTTTATTCACGACAGATACAGTACTGCTGCCATTAAGGACATACCAAATAATAAAATATGTTTTGTTTTGTTTTCTACTTTTAGCTCATATTGTTATGCTGATCATTTATAATTAGAACTTTGAATTAAACTGGACAAATGCAAAGTAGAAGCATTTTCACTATTGCATATGTGTCATATGTGCTTTTAAACAGGTAACACAGTGGTTTAAGGAAAAGGCTACTTTGTTCTTGGAAAACAGTCAGCTGGGTTCATCTCTGTCAGAAAATGAGGACTTACTACGTGAATACAAAGAGTTTGAACAGAAATCCAAGGTAAGGGATCACTAGACTGTTCAATGAACAGATAAAATATTCCTGGCTTCATATATTGTATAAAATATGTAACCCTCATTTTTCAAGATGAATTAGTCTGAATAGTTTTCTTTTCTAAAAATATTATAATTAAGTAAATAGATCAATTTAAAATAATTCCAGTTCTTTGGTTTGAGTGGGGATATTGCCATTTGTGCTCAAGCATTATTGACTAACTGCTATGTAACTTGAAAAACTGATTTACTAAAAAATATTTCAGGTGTTTCAAGTTTTCCTTTCTGTAATCAAAATAATTCAAACAAAACATGTTGTGTTGTGCTTGATGTGTAATTAGTAATCAGCGTGTTTTTGTTTTTTTTGTCCTCTTGTCCTTGTGTTTCTGCCCTGTTAAGTTTTTACAAAATCACTTTCAATCAGGACATCATTTGTGACATAATTTTGGTGGGAAAACAACATCACAGACATAGTAAAAGACAACAATGTAATCATTTCTTAAATATAATTACATAAATGTGTATGGTATTATAGTTTTTAAAATGAACTTTAATCTCTTCTCACTCTCTTACTCCGCAACAGCTACAGTAACATTAGATCTCTATTTCTGTACTGTTAATCTTTGTGCCATTGTGTAAATAATCAAGTTATAATTAATAAAGTGTAAGTGCCCGAGTTTGACCACAGCACATTACTGAAAGTCTGATACTCTTATAGAAATACTTTCTAATATTACAACACATATTCTTAAAATAAAATAATGAAATAAAATAATATTAAATAAAATATAAAAATAAAATCATATATTTTTAAAGTTAAAAAGGTTAACTTCAGTGGGTATCTAAAGCTTTTTTATGGTTCATGTACTTCCTTCAGGACTGGGGTGTGCTGGTTGAGAGGTTGATACAGCAGGCGTCAGATCTGCTTTCCTCGAATGAGTGCACACAACTTCAACGCTTGTCAGAGAAGAGTGAAAAACTCAAAGCTACACACGAGCACTTCTGGAGCCTCATGATGAATCGTCTGGCTCATCTGCAGGAGAGCAATGCCTTTTACAGCAGTGCTAATAAAGTACGTAATATAGTAGCACTTCACATGCTTTGACTAAGTTGAGGTTTGGATAACTGAGCTGACAGAGCCCTAACTCTTGGTAAACACTTCAGCAGCTATATTTCTTCTGACCACACTCTAGTGACTTGCGTGTCATTTGTTTTTGTGGTTGAAGGTAGTACCCCCTAGTGGAGATGTGTAATGTGAGTGATTTATGGAGTGTGTTGCATAAATTTATATAGCATACATTGTCATGACATCAATTTGTATCCAACCCAAAAGATTCATTTGCCATGGGTTCCCTCAGGAATTTTATGTTTATTTATTTATTTAAGTCAAGTCAAGTCAAGTTTATTTGTACGGCGCTTTTCACGATACAAATCATTGCAAAGGAAACATGATGAGTATTCACGGAGTATAAAAGATGCATCTGTCGAGCCTCTTCAGAGAGGTCAGCTGTTACTTCAGAAGCTCGACCCACAAAGGTGAGAAAACAGAGCAGATGCTACAGTGTGTTAAAAAATAGACCCTATCACAGCAGATATCCAGACTCTGGGTTTTCAGAGGGTTGATAAAAGGATTGAGATGTTCTGTGTAGTGTCAGGCGTCCATGGTGCGCTTATGTGTTTGTTTGTTAGTGCCCAAGTTGGAGGGCTGCAAAGGATGCTGGGATACATCAAAGAGAGAATCGATGCTCTGAGCCATGAGTGTCACGCCCACAGAGAGTTAACAGGCAAACGGCAGCAGCTGGTGTCTTCATTTGAAGAACTGGTGGATAAGGTATAGAAAAATGCGGTAATCTCTGTATGTAGCTGACAACATCTATAACACAGAATTAAGGGTGAATGTCATGAAACATCAATTTTCTGGCACTTTTCTAACAACAACAACAACAATAATAATAATTTTATAAGAATAATAAACATATTATATATATGTGACCCTGGACCACAAAACCAGTCATAAGTAGCACGGGTATATTTGTAGCAGTAGGTGTATACATCTCAATAAATCTTAAATAAAAAATTGACCCTTATGGTTTTGTGGTCCAGGATCACATATATGTAATGCCATGAAATGTCAATTTCTTGTCAAATATTTCCACCCAATAATAATCAAAAATAATAATTCAATGACATAAGAACTATAAAGGATTAGAACTATAAAGTATTTATTTATTTATGTAATGCCATGAAATTATTATTTCCATTTGTCTTTATTTATGCTGTTCGAAACAAAGCAAATGCACTATTTGTTTGTTTGTTTGTTTTTTATTGTACGTGCCTAAAATTCACCCTTCAACTTTTTCTATTTTTAAATGCATTATTAGGTTATTTGTTATAAGTTGATAAATGTACCTTAATATTGTAGCTTGTTGAAAAGCGCATTTATATTTCATCATAATGATTAATCTCAAACTCCTGAATCTCCACAGGTGTCTGCTTGGATTAAGAGCAGCAACAGTGTCCTCTCTTCCAGCACAGAGCCTGGTTCATCTCTAACTGAGGCTGAGGACACCCTTAACAAGCATGTTGAGCTACTCTCACAGTCTCAGGTGACTTCATACTTACCTAGACTGAGAATACAATATGATATGGAAATTTCAAAGTTATTTGACCATTTTATACAATCCCTACAAAGTAAAAGTGCTATGAAGATCTTCTCATATTAAGATCTTCTCATAGTAATCAGGTAGTAATCACCATTCAAAAACACTTTGAATGGTGTTTTTTTCCCTGCAGGATGCTGTGAGAGAATCAGAGGCTATAGCTGGTTTTATAAAGGAACTAAAGGGGCTGGAATCCTCAGATGCAGTTGAGTTGTCTAACAAAGCTTCACTTTTGGCAGAGGAGATGAAAACACTGCTCAGAAACATTTCATCTCATGTGGAAAGCCTTAGACCCTACGTGGACTTTCTGCGCAGTGCAGATGAGGTATGGTTATATATTTAGAACATATATTTATAGTATTGATGTATCCAGTCAGACTAAAACCAATAGTCCAATGATGATTATTTTGTGTGGTGGCACAGGTTGAGGAACAGATAAGGACACTTGAGGAATGCTATAAGAATAGGCCAGAGGAAAATGAAGGAGCAGGTGCAACCATGAAGGATATGCTGGATGCTAAGTGGCAGTCATTGCTGCAGAAGTTTTTCACCATGCAGGACCTGGGAAACAATTTTATGAACTCCTCTAACATGGTAAGAAACATTGTAGAGCAAACTTACAACTAGCAGTCTTTGCAAATCTATGGCAGTGTCTTGGGGTTTAAAACCTAATTTATTTTTATTGCAGATCAGTGGCAACCTGAATCTAAACATTAAAGCAGCAGGGCATGTTGTAGAAATATATATGGACACACTGACCAAAAAGAAGTCTGAACTAGCAGACTTATGGACGTCCTGGCAACTGCATTATAGTCAGATGAAATCTGTGAAGAAGCAGTGGAAAAAATTTAAGGATCGACTTAAAAAGGTAACTTTTGATTTTGCTCATAAATACATCAGTTTACGGAAGCAAAAATCGTTATGAAATGCTCCATATTATTTAAGCATTTAAAAAGGATGCCGTTTTATTTCTTCCTGCAAAACATTAATAGCATTATATTGCCTGCAGGTTCTTCATGATTTAAAGGCAATGGAGGAGATTTTTGCTCCAGCTTCAAAGGTTGATTTGGGGGGTGATTCTCAGTCTGTGTCTAAACTACAGGATAACTTCAATGCTGTAAAGCCAGAATTCCTGGTAAGACTACTCTTTTTGCTTTCTCGTTATTGAAAATGCTTTGTTTTTCAATTTTAAACATTTTAATTTTAAAAACTTCACAGCAACTGAATGCAGAAGTGGAATTCCTGGTTAAGACATCCGAGCTGCTTGGCTTGAAGGGAATACCGGTGAAAGAGAAGAACGAGAGAGTTTCTGAGCTCCTGCAGCTACATCAGCATGTCAGAGATAAAATCAGAGCGTATGAAACCATTCTCAGTATGGCCAGTAAATTTCATCAGCTTTATCAAGAGGTAAAAATCTCATTTCTGTCAGAACACTTTAAAGAATCATTTGAAAGGGTATTGTAATGAATTTCAAAACCAGAATTAATATGCACTGTTAAAAGTCAGCCACCTACTCATTCTGATGGATTATGCGAAATAATAGGATTATGAGAATTAAATAGTGATGAATAAAAATTTAAAAAAGCATTTTCAAACACTGCTCACTCTCTAGATAACAGCTTTGCAGACCGTGTTCATTCATTTAGCCAATGTCACGAGTTGCATCCTGACAACTATACTGTACATTGTGACTAAACACTAGTAATAGTATTAATAATCATCATCATCATCATCATTATCGTCATTATTTAATAATTGGGTGCAATTGTTTTAAAAAATACTGAACGAGTGGACATTTGTTGAGTGTTTTTCTTTACCTCAACTACCTTGGAGAGCTAAATATATTTTAATTTTGTGTTTTTAATTTGTTAATTTAATAAATTTAAGTTTTGTAGACAAATATAAATTGTGAATAATTTCTTATATAATTTCTTATCCTTTTTATTAATATTCTTTATTAATTATTATTATATTATATATTATATTATATTATATTATATTATATTATATTATATTATATTATATTATATTATATTATATTATATTATATTATATTATATTATATTATTGGCTGAAATTTGTAGCCTAAGCATACTTCTTTTCCCAGCTGGACACTGTATTACATGCAGAACCAGTGACTGTGTACAGTGACACCAGCCAGGCCAGGACTCAGTTGACTCAGTACCAAGAGAGGCAGAGGCACATCCACTATCTGTACAAGCTCGCCCTCTCGCTGGGTGCAGATCTCACCAGCACTGTGCAACACTCGGTGTGTCAATTACTTCAAAATATTGCATGCCCTCATTATCTTCAAAAGATTTCATGCATTCTCTGGATTTCCTTACCCGAACCTGAAAAATGTTATGCATATTTGTTATGCATAAATGCATAACAATACTTGTTGCTTTGATAGAAATGGTATGAAACAAGTGCCATAAATGAGCATTCTTCTCCATTTTCCCGCTTTCTTTATGCTCCAAGCGTCTGCTGGTGTTGTCAGTGCAGCAGTTAAAGGAGAAACTGGAAAAATTGGAAAGAGGAAGCGTTGAATGGATTGCTGAGGCCAACAAGTGTGAAGAGAGTTTGATGAGCATTGTCCACTTCTGCCTTTATAAGGAAGAGATTGGTGAGGTAAGTTTCGTAAGTGTGTATCAGTCAGGGTTTGGATCAATCACTCATTTCTTGTAATTTTTCTTAATCTCATCTGAAGCACAATTCAGGAAAAAACACTGTGCCATGGAAAAACTATGTCGTTGTGTCTTGATTTCATCATGTGATGTTAATAGTGGTCTTTTAGGTCCTCTAAAATATTTTTGTGACCTAAACAATCATAAGTTCAAATCATAAGACCATTTTCCACTATCTCTGACTAACTCAGAGATATTATTTGCTGCTGTGCCATTAAGAGTGCAAACGGCCCCTATGCATGTGAAACGAGACTGTTGGGTTCAATATAGTTTTTAATGTTCACGGCCTCTTTTCAAAGCCTGCAATGCATTGTACAAAGGTGATGGGTTTAAATGTGCAAAAATAGTTGGACATGTTTTCAGATGTATTCTAAATCATGGTCATAATCGGAAAGATGTTGCAAAAGTACAGAACAAGCCATTTTAGCAGCTTAAGTTTCATACTCTTGTTTTCACTGGGGAATAAATGGAGTTTTGGAAGTTAGTATGTTTTCATAGTACAAATAATTATATATATATATATATTAAAAGATCACTGAAGCTTTGATTCCTTATGCCCTTATTGCCTTGAAGTTTCCTTAAAGATGTGTTAACTCTTTTTCCCAGCGCACTGATCCAGGGCTCAGAAGTTGGTCTGTTGTGGCTGACTCTCATTGTCTCTCTCCCTGAATTATTTATAGCTTGTCTGCCCTTGTTAAATTTAGTCTGTGAACTGCAGGGTTTGTCTCTCTCTGTGTTGACTGAGAGACTCAAATCCTGCCATTTGTCTCTCATCACTTCAGATAGCAGGAAGGATTCCTCCCTTATCACATACTTACTGCCCCGCAGCCACAAAATCCAACAGTCGATCCCTAGGATTACACCGCACACCTCACAGGCCACAGAACATCAGATAGGTTTCCTTCCTTATATGACTTAGTTTCATGATGTCCTTTTTGATTTTTGATTACTGCACAAATTGTGTATGAGTGATATACAGCCATATTTGTTTTTCGTCTTTTTTTGTTGTTTACTGACTTGTTGATTGCAAATAATGTTAATAAAAGTTGAATTTTATAGTTTGGCGAGAGATACCATAATTCATTACAAGTATTTTAGAATGTCTTAAAAACAGTCTGTTACTATTTTGATAATATTGTAATCTCTGTCTCCCTCTAGAGGATAATAATCATACTTTTTTCCCCTCTCTAAATCAATAAGCACAGGCATTTAGACCAGTGATTCTCAACTGGGGGGGGTGGGGTCGGGGG